AGAATAATAATAATAATGTAATCGTTTCCTACAGATTTTCAACTTTAAGAATAATTTATGGATAAAAAGGTCAACTTTGGGGCAAAGCACAAAACCTTTATTGGTTATGGATTCAGGGCTTTGGAATGTTATTATCATTGACAAAAAGCAATTACTATAACTGGTAGTTACCCAAACCTCCTTGACTTACAAAATGGGAAGTCAAGATATACGGTCAAAAGTTGACCAAAAATATAAGAAAGGTGTCCTAACAAACAAAAAATAATATAAATGTTAAATCTGAAAGAGGCATAGCTTAAAGAGCTACATTCTCACTTTCATATCAGGAGTTAAAGTTGGTAAGTCGTAAAGTAGTGGTAAGCCCATATTAAAATTAAGAAGATAATAATCTAAGAATTAAATACAAAAATATTTTTAAAAAATTAAATGGTTTGGCTCAGTGGATGGAGCGTTGGCTTGCGAGATAAAGGGTCCCAGGTTCAATTCTGGTCAAGGGCATGTACCTTGGTTGTGGGCACATCCCCAGCAGGGGTTGTGCAAGAGGCAACTGATTATTGTTTCTCTCTCATCAATGTTTCTAACGCTCTATCCCTCTCTCTTCCTCTCTGTAAAAACTCAATACAATATATATTTTTTTTTTAATTTAAATGGTTTTCTTTGAGAGGCTTAAGGAGGTAAAGGAAACCATTGTTTTTCAACAGAAGTCCTTCTGTTCTATTGAATATGTTGCCAAGTGCATAGATCACATTGACAAAAATAATTTTTTACCACATATGTCAAAAAAGGCAATCCATGAAAATTATTACTAAACATTGGGAGTGGTGGGCAAATATTATAATTGGAATTATATTTAGAAGTAAGGATAAAGTTACTTATAGAATACTAGAGGCCCAATGCACAGACTCGTGCACCGGTGGGGTCCCTAGGCCTGGCCTGCACCCTATTGCAATCTGGGACCCCTCAGGGGATGTCTGAGAGGGCCAGTTTTGGCTCGATCCCCGCAGGCCAGGCTGAGGGACCTCATCAGTGCGTGATCATCAGGGCTGGGGAGGGACCATGGGCGGGCTCCAGGGCATATCTGGACAGTCTCACCCAGTCCTGATCCACCCAACCCCAGCAGCAAGCTAACCTACCAGTCGGAGCATCTGCTCTCTGGTGGTCAGTGCACATCATAGCGACTGGTCAAATGGTCTAATAAATGATGGGACACTTGAAATATTAGGCTTTTATTATATAGGATTACTCAAGTAAAAATTTTTTCCAAGATTTGAAAGTTCTATTGAAGCTAGAGCATTCTTTATATCTTTACTTTCTGGTTTGTGTACAATAAACATATATTCCATTTATAACCAGAATTTTTTTTTATTTTTTTTTTAATGTGATCAACAAAGTCAGTGATGTGCCAGGTTGCAAAGAGCCCAATACCTACACACACACTCAGCCTGATTTATGATCTTTAGAGAACAGCAGGAACAATGCAGTCATTTTCAGAGGCCATGTGTTTTAACATTTGATCCTCTATGGTTATATGCTACCCTAAAGGAATGCCTGAACAGCAGGAAAGGTGCCCTTTAAAAATCACTTAAAGAGGTTACCAGAAAGTAATTACATCATACACCTAGGAACAATCTTCCCTGAAAAAAGGACAAAAAGCTCTTGAAGTATCTTAAGATGTCCAGGCTTTGTTATCCATAAAGCTCCATTGTTCCATGGTGAAGTGAGTGGGGATAAAGGTGGGTGGGGAAAATGGAAAAGTGCTCAGTACACAGAGAGCAAAAGATTAGAGGTCCAATCCAGGGTCCACCATTAAATGACCACATGACTTTCCCAAAGTCAAATAACTACCCTTTTCTGAACTCAGTTTTTTTAGAAAAAAAGTTATTCACTTCAGATTTATGAAACCTTAGCCTCCTAACCTAGGATTCTACTGCTAGCCCTGTTTCACAAATGTTAGAGCAGATTTTATGAAAATTAAATCAAGATCAGTTACCATCATTTTTTGCACTTCTCTTTATTCCACTGGAATACAGTGCCTTTTGAGATTGTGCAACAAAGTGTATCATCTTATATTTACCTCACTTCAACTTTAAGTTCCAATAGAAACTCAGAGAGCCCTGCCTAGTTTGCTCAGTGGTTAGAGTTGCCAGCTCTCAGACTGAAGGCTTGCAGATTCGATTCTCAGTCTTGGGCATGTACCTCGATTGCAGATCTCTCACTGCGGATGTATCTCTCTCCCTCTTCCTTCCTCAGTTAAAAAAAAAAAAAAAAAGAACGAAAAAGAACCTCGGAGAACTTTGGGCAGATTACTAATGTTAAAAGACAATAGTCATGTCCTGCTGGCTTGGCTCAGTGGTAGAGCTTCAACCAGGAGGTCACAGTTAGATTCCCAGTCAGGGCACGTGCAGAGGCAACCAATCAATGATTCTCTTACTGACATTTCTATCTCTCTCTCCTTCCCCCTTCTTTTCTAAAATCAATAAAAATATATTTAAAAAAAAAAAAAAAGCCCTACATGGCTCAGTGATTGAGCATTGATTCCTGGTTAGGGCACAAGCCTGAGTTCCGGGCTCAGTCCCCAGTGTGGGGCGTGCAGGAGGCAGCTGATCAATAATTCTCTATCACCAATGATGTTTCTATCTCTCTCCCTTTCCCAAATCAATAAAATACATATTTTTTAAAAGACAATAGTCATGCAGAAACCAGTTTGGCTCAGTGGTAGGGCATCGGTCTGCGGACTGAAAGGTCCCAGGTTCAATTCCGGTCAAGGGCATGTACCTTAGTTGCGGGCACATCCCCGGTAAGGGGGTGTGCAAGAGGCAGCTGGTCGATGTTTCTCTCTCATCAACATTTCTAGCTCTCTGTCTCTCTCCCTTCCTCTCTGTAAAAAAATCAATAATATATATATAAAGACAATAGTCATGATGACTTAATTTCTTTAATTCCTTTAGCTATGTGGCCAAAAACTTCCAGGGATAGCATCAGATCAGGCTATCCTCCTACCTATTTTTTTCAGCTGTTATTTTCACTGAGGACCCAATAAAATGAAGACACACATCTCCACAACTACAACCACTCCCCAACTACAACCACTCCCTTTGTTTTGGGTTGGGGAGTGGTTGTAATTGGGGAGATGGGCAGAGGGATCAGGGCAACTTTCTCTCTAAACTCAGGCCAACTTCCACTATTACCCTAGTTTCACAAAGATAGTTCTGATCTATTACAATCATTCAAAATGTATATAAAAGGGAATTATTTTGTTTTGCTTTTATTTGAGGGCTGGTTTGTTTTTGTTTTTTTTTTTCCTATCTTTCCTCAGGCAATGTGTAAGCCCAGCTCTTATTTCTTATATACTTTTCTGTGTACATTCATAAACAATTTAAAAATCATTTGGGCCAAAAATGATCTCCCCAATTACTGTAAATTATTATGTCTTTTTCTATTTTATTTCTTACTAAGTCCATTTCTAGAAAATTCACCATAAAATATTCACAATTGCATTTACCTATTAATAAAAGAGGCTAGTTATTTTGGACCTTTATTAACTATAGAAACTAATGTCATCCTTCAGAACAACATCATGTTTAGGAAAATGCCATCTTATTACATCACACACTTGAATTCCACCAGCGATTTAAAACTCATAGGACTGAGTACATGTCCACACTATCACTTAAAAACAGAGAAAAAAAACAGTGGTGGGATAAAATGGCCACCAAGTCTGTTCCAGGACAAGTGCTTCCCAGCATTGCAACAACCCCAGGAATAAAATAAAGAACTCCTCCTCCTTGCACAAGATGTCAACAGCTTTGGGATGGGAAAGAAATCCTTGGTTACCAGTGTGAGTCAAAGTGTTGGTTATAATAAACCTCATACATTATTGTATATTCTTCATTAGGGCCCTCAAATAGCAATCAACGTATCAAATACTAACACCAAAGAAAGGATTGATTATATTTTTAAAATAGCATTTAATGTTTCAACTTTCAAACAAAGGCTGCACCATCAAAGAAACATGGACTTTAAGTAAACAAAAGGCAAGTTCTTCCAAGAGAAGTTTCTCTCCGTGGCTGAGAACAGCCAGCTGGTGCAGGCACTCCTGAACCAAGTGGTCCAGTTGGCACAACTTCCATCTAGGCCATGGATAACCTGAGCCTCTAAGACCTCACCGGTTGGTTACCTTTCAAGTTCCAGCTTGGTTCCACCTCTGGAATATAATTATCTTAGGATACCACAATTGAAACAATTTTTTTTATGTCTGTGAACCTATTTTCCTAGAGTCTCTAACATGAATCTAATGTTAAAATTCATTACATCAGAAAGCAGAACAACGTGAAGGGAAAAATGACAATATAGGCTCCTGATTCGATGGTATTTTAAGTTACCAAGTATGACGTAATACAACTCCTGACCCAATTTCCACAAAATGCATTTGTCCAGCCCACAACTACTTCATCAGCAGTTGCTAATTACATCACTGTGCTGTGTGGTCATTACATCACCCAGCTGGGAGGTAAGGCCTACCAGGCAGTGTTCACTTTTCCAGCTTTTCCCCAGAACAGAGACTGCAGACCTACCCTACCAAGAGTCCAAGAGTCCCTCTTCTCCAGTCTCAGAACTTTTCTCACATGTTTTTGGTGTCCAGGCTCTGAGGTATCTGACTTAGAATGGGCAGGGATGGGGTGAGGGTTTGTGCGCAGAAGTCTGTATCAATACTCCAGATTCAGGGCAAAGTCACTTAAGTGTTTCATGAGAATCCCCCCAAAACTACTTTTATATCTCCTGTCTCTAAGAGTTTCCTTCCATGACCAGACTCTCTGCTTCTGATTCCTTACACTTCCAATATCCAGGGATCCACTCCTTTCTTCCAGCTAGCTTCACAAATATTTGGGAAAGAATCCTGGAAAGACACACCATCAGATCACACACACACTCACAAGCGCGCGCACCTCGGAATCGGGACTCTCGGCCCCCTCCCCCTGCCCCGCAGCAGGCTGACTTACTTGAGGAAGTACCTCTGGCCCGTGGGCGTGAAGGTCATCTCCCAGCCCGGGGGCAGCGGCAGCTCGTCCGTCACGTCGTAGGACTGCTGGCGGAGGTGCGCGTGCTGCTGCGCAGCGCTCATCGCGGCGCCCGCGCCGGCGCCCAGCTGCAGGGACGCGGGCGACGAGTGCGAGCGGACGTGCTGGGCGCCGCCGGGCAGCCGGGGCCCGGGGTGGCCGCCCGAAGAGTCGGTGCTGGACTGGCGCGAGTGCGAGCCGGAGTCCGGCTCCTTGAAGAATGACTCGGGCAGGATCTTCTTCCGCCAGGAGCTGGGCTTGGGGTTCATGACCGAGTTGAAGAGGGCTTCGAGGTCCGTGTCTAGGTCCGGCGTGACATGGATCACTTGCTGCCCGGGCGGCGGGAGCGGATGGGGCGCCGAGGCCGGATTCATCTTCTACAAGGAAAAGGGTCAGAGCAGCCTTTTACTTAAAGTCGGAGTAAGAGGTACGGGGAGAAAATGGAGAGGAAAGAAAAAGACACATAGGTGTCCGCCTCGAGATCCCAGACACTCAGCCGGGAGACCAGCCGCCTGGGGGAGGAGTCCCTCCCGGCCGCCAGAATTATGCAACTTTCTTGGAGCCAAAAAAGTTACTGAGAGAAGGAAGAGCGGGGAGAGGGGGAGGTAGCTGCACTCCGGACGTTGCTGAAGTGTGGGTGGCAAAGAACAGGTCGCAGCTCTCCAGGGCAGGGATCCCCCCCAAAGAAATCTCAGCCCCAGCCAACTCCACACCTGGACCCCGGGAGCCCGAGGCCCCGGGCACCCGGGAGCGGTGCGGGGCGCGCTCCAGCGGGCACTACCTGGGCGCGCGGCGAAGCCGAGTCTGGGCGTGCGGCGGCGGCCGTCGGGCCTGGGTCGCTCGGAGTGCGTTCCGATCTTGCCGGATTGGAGCCGGAGCCCAGCTGGCAAATCCGGACCCGCCTCGGTGCCTGGCAGTCGAGGGGCTTCGGCCTTCACATTCCCCCAAACTGGCCTCAGGCCTTCGCGCTCTTCAAGGAGGAGAAGCAGACAGCGCGGCCGCCGCGGCTCTCCGACTGTCCCATAAACAAAGTTTGGAGCAAACTCCCACTCCCAGGAAAGAGGCGGGTCCGAAAGTTGAGCTGTTGAATTATGCATGACTTGCAAGTCCTGAGCCTGCCTGCCCCCGCTTGTCCCTCCCCTTCCTCCTCCTCCTCTTCCTCCTCCTCCTCCTTTTCCTCCTCCTTCTCCTCCTCCCCTCCTCCTCCTCTTTTCCCCCCTCCCCCTCCTCCTTTTCCCCCTCTTCCCCCCCTCACTCCGGCTCCAGAAAACCTTGGGTGTGTTGGGTACTTTGCAGGCTAAGAGGAGAAGGTGCCCCCCACCCACTCTTGATCGCGCGGACCTCTCCCTAGGAGCTCTGGAAGTGCATTCCTTTGAGTTTACCGCGGGCTTGGGGCGGATCAAAGGGAAAGTGACCCGGGCCTGTTTAATCAAGGGCTGGTGGACCGAAACCAAGGCCTGGAGCGGCGGAGGGCTCGCGGTTGAGGGGCCCCGGCGGAGGAAGGGCGGGTCCGGGCGCCGCGCCCTACCTGAGCGCCCGGGCCGCCGCGCGGAGCCAGGCTCTGCCCGCGGGCGGGACCGGGTGCGCCCCGGCACGCGGAGGCTCCCTGGCCGGCCTTCACGCGGGAGGCTGCTTGTGACCATATTTGGTCTGGCGAGGAGGCATCTGGGTTGTTTGGCTTTCAGTTGTCTGCCCCAGCGCAGACGGTGCCCAGAAAGTGTCTCTCGTTAGGGATGCGGCTCCACCAACGGGCGCGTTGTAAACAAACAACCTTCAGACCACTCTTCAATCCTGTTTCGTCTCCGGGGACTCAGGTCACTAGACACGGAGAAGAAATGTACTCAAAGCCGGGTGCTGGAATGGAAGAGCAGTCGTCGTCCCCTCCCCCGCCACATCCGCGCGGGTAGTGGGAGGATTGGAATGTCCCTGACGCCCTCCAGAGAGCCTGGAACCGGGATGGAACCCAAGCAGGTGGCTGGGAGTAAAGAGGGTGCGCCAGTGACCCGGAAAAAGCCACTCGCCCTCCCACGACTGGATCTGGGAGAGGGTGGAGCCCCCTGCCCCTAGATCTAGCCTGGGTAGACAGCTGGGGGAAGTAGTAGGCGGCCTTGCCCTCCGGAGAAGCTCAATTCCATCTCTCCTCCTCTCCCCGTTGGGGGAAACAGAGTGGCTACTAGATAAGTCACGCTTCAAAATACCCCTACCACACCCCATTTGATTCATATCGAAGTTTATAAAATACGTCAAAAAACGCAATATATGTAAAGCACTTTGAACAGGACCCAGCCCACCTACATACCTGTTTGTTAAATAAAATAGAACTGTATTAAGTGTAAGTATTGTGCTTCAACATTTTTATAAGGGTGAAAAGAAGTAAAAATGAAAATCGGTAATTGTCTTGAAGAAAAAGTTTACAGGAAAGATAAGACCACCCTATAATTTTGCCTTGAAAAAGCTAGGAGTATCTGGGGTCACTCCCTCAATGACTGCTGCCCATCACTGCCCCAAAATAGAGCAGAACCCACCAAGGTGAACCACCTCCCCCATTATCTTTTCTTGCTAGTATACTCTGACCCCAGACTCCCCACAAAGTGTTTACCAGAGCAGGCTGCCCTGACTGATGGATTCACTGGCAGGGCACATACCTAGTTTTCAGGTTCATCCCCAGACAGGACACAGTCAGAAGGCAACTGATCTAGGTTCACTCTCCTTCTCTTCTTTTCTCTCTCTTCCTCTTCCTCTCTCTCTTAAATCAATAAGCATGCCCTCAGGTGAGGATTAAAAAAAAAAAAGATCTGGGCCGCCTTAGGGAAAGACAGCCATGTGATGTGGATCACCTTCAAAGTTAAGCAGAACCTGACTCCTCTCAGGAGACTGGAATCTGGGATTTCCCACACAGCAAGTCCTGTTCCCACAGGACCCACATAGGGAAAGGGGAAACCATCAAAAGTCACTCTATAGGAAATGGAGCTTTTGGCAAAAGCTATCTTCAGAAGCCCCCAATTTTGACAAATTTATCTATAAAACTATAGAAGTGACAGGGACCATATGGTTATTAATTCAGAAGCCACAAGTCCATCTTCATGATTAGAGGATGGAAACTTGAGGCAAGCCTTACTCCAGGAAGGTTCTCACCCAAGAAGGAAAGCCCTGCTTTGTAGAGAGTACCTGGCTGTTACAAGAGAAGGAAATGCTGCGGAGCCATGAAACTAATACTGGAGTGAGAATCAGGGTTGGGATTGGCATGGGTAAGGATGTTGTCTTCATTCTTTGCTAAGCTTCAAGAAATGTGGAGGATAGAGGAGCAAATACCTGAAAGGAAAACTAAGTAGCAGAATAATTCATAGAGAAAACTCTCAGTTCCGAAACGGCCTATAAGATGTGATAGTAGCTGGTTAAAGAGATTTGCTTGAGTTAATCCTTCAAATAATTGCGTCAGGTTAAATAACATTTACATGTGCCTTGTATGTATCAGGTACTGCCCATATGAAACAACTTGGTGTAGCAGATACATATCCTGCATTTCTTTCTTTGAAAAGTATGTCCAATCCTCCTAGGATTCTAGATTTAAACACTACACAGACATTCCTCGGAGATACTGATTCCAAACCACCACAATGAAGCAAGTATAACAATAACGCAAGTGTAATTTTTTTGTTGGTGGAGGGTCTTGCCTTCAATTTGTAAAAAACATTTCTTAGTGCAATAAAGCAAAGCACATTAAAAAAAGATATGCTTGTACAAATTGTATCTGTTGACCCATGATTTAGAACACAAGCTTTGAAGTACCTAGCTCTAATCTCTACATTGTCAAGTAACTAATTCTCCTTAAGTCACAGATTATTTATTTACGAATTGGAGATAATATTAGGTAGTCAGTGACTTCAATGGACCACCCTTCTGTTAGTCACACCCTCATGGAGACCCTTCCACTTAAATCTGGACTGAGCCAGTGACTTGCCTTTGCCAGGAAAATGCAGCCGTGAAACTGTGCTAGTTCCCCACTTAAACCTTGAGAAGGTGTGGAAGTTTCTACTTAGAACACATGTGTCAAACACAAGGCCCTCGGGCCAAATCCGTCCCGCCAGGCCTTGCAATCCGCACCGCGCTGTCATCACTGCACTCCGCTGCGTTTCCTTCACAATGACAGTTTATGACTGTTCAGTAAACCATTCTGCCCCCGATTTAGGCTGGATTTTAGATTTTGGCCCCTTCTCTGATTGAGTTCGACACCCCTAACTTAGAAGTCTTAAGCCACTGGAGAAAGCACATAGAGAGAGAGTGAAGAGGGAGAAGTCCAGCCATCCCAAATCTGAGCTGCACCCAGCTCCCAGCCAGCTCACCAGCTGACTGAAAACACATCAGTGACAGTAAAAGAACCACAGAGGCTTTCGAGCTAGCCCAGCCCAGATTGTAGACCTGTGAGCAAATAAAATGGATATTTGTAAGCCACTAAATTTAGGAATTTTTTCAAAATACAAAATGGACAGTCTACAGGTTAAATAAGAAAATGCAAATAAAGTTTTTAACACAAATTCTGTTACATACTAAAGCACTCAACAAATAATGCCTGTGATTTAAGACCCCAAAGAATAGATAATACATTATATATCCCCATTTTATAGATAAAGAAACTGGCCCAATGAATTTTAAAGCATTTAAAAAAAAAAAAAAAAAAAAAAAAAACACCTGGGATTCAGACCAGGGTTCATAATCCTAGATCAGATTGCTTTTTTCTACTCTCCCAGCCAGTGTGAGCCAGAAGTTTCTCCTTGTTACTGTCATTTTAAATCAGTGTGATATCTATTGCCTGCTTATCTCATAGAGAAACTCCATGGTGATTACAAGATAATCAATTCAGAAGACACTCCTACTCTTATGTAAATCTTTCTCTCTTCTTGCAAAGATTTTCCACTGGAAGTTAATGAGTACTTCCAAAATTTCCCCTCAACACACTTCCTACTAAAGGTGTCCCTCCTCCCTCTCTGTCCACATCCAATCAGGTAAGTGCTGTGGATTTTTCTTCTGGTGTCCATCCTTGCTTTCCCTCCTCCCCCCACAAGACCTTATCTCAAAGTGCTGCAGTGGCTCTCTAATTGGTTATGTTCCTCCAGTCCTCATTTCTGGCCTCTTGCTTTCTTGATGTCATCTCTTGGCTAACAAGTTTTTAGCAACTGCCCACAAAAATAAAAGTCAAAACTATTAATCTAACCCCAAAGTCTCCCAACAAACTCCTAGCTTTCCAACCTTGATTCTTACACAGATGTGTCCTTCATCCACTCCAGGCTCGTATCAAAGCATATCTAGCCTGTTCCTTCACCATGGCTCTCTCTTTGAACACTGCTTATAACTGCCCTCCATACTCCATTGTCAGCTTCGTTAACCTCTTTCTTCTCTCCCCGAAATTCAAGTTGTTCTTGTCTTTTTCACTTCTTTGACACACAATTGTACATAACACTACCTTATATTATAACTTTTACCTCAGTATCACTTGCCTCCCCAACTGGCTGGGAACTACCTATGGGGCTAGAAGCATCTTACATTGCTTTGCGGAATTGTTCTTCTGGAGGCCGTCATTCCCATTGTTCTCAGCACCACTAGTGTACTCCTCACAATTTTTAAGGTGTCACCCTACCATTCACAGCAATTTTTGCACTGTGTATGGACTCAACTCCTAAATAGGGCTGCAAGCTTTTTGAGGACAATTCTCAGAGGACTTCACTTTCTTTTTGTTTCCCCCATGCCTAACAGCATGTTCTCCACACAGGAGTGTCCAGTACATGTGGTCACCTCACCCAGTGGCTGTTGTCCCGACTATGTTCATCTGCCATTTTTGCCTCAGGACAGCCACAAGCTGATTTCTCAACCCCATGCCCTTGAATTGCTGACTTGGTCTGAGTGATTGCAGCTACAGTGAATGGTCAGAAACTTG